CTTGTATACACCGGAGTTTAGAAGACTAATAGGTAATTTAAATGAAGTAAGACCCTGAATGGTCCTGATTGGGTGGATGTGATCAGGATATTTCCTGTTGAAGTAGCTTCACTGTTTAAAACTAAGAGATCTCCTATTTAAGACAGAGATGAAGTGATTCTTTTTCCCCCGCAGAGGAATCTTGGTCTTTGAAACTCCGCTTCACCGTGTTTTGAGGAGGAGTGCCTTTTATGGCAGACATAGGTAGATTCTTGGTAAATAAGGAGGTGAAAGGTGATCAGGGGTCACTAGGAATTGGCTCGAATCAGATCAGCCATGATCTTATTGAATGGTGGAGCTGGCCTGAGTGGCCAGTACCCAGTCGTTTGCTCAAATCCACACAGGTGCCTGCCAGCGTCCACACGTACAACTCCAACATATCATGATCCCTACCGTCTTTGTGTTTTATTACCTGATTATGTTAAATAATATCACGTTTTCTCTAGTTATTTGAGGTAGTTTAACTCAGTAAGTTTTAAATTTAATGTAATATGTGTAACATCCCAGCACTAGTTTAAACTACTACAGGGGAGGCAATGGCCTTGTGATATTATCACTGGATTGTTAATCCAGAGACCCAGATAATGCTCTGGGGACATGGGTTCAAATCCTACCACGGCAGATGGTGGAATTTGAATTCAATAAATATCTGGAATTAAGAGTCTATCGATGACCATGAATCCATTGTCGATCGATGGAAAAATCAATCTGGTTCACTAATGTCCTTTAGGGAAGGAAACTGCCATCCTTACCTGGTCTGGCCTACATGTGACTCCACACCCACAGTAATGTGGTTGACTCTGAACTGCCCTCTGGGTAATTAGGCAGGGGCAATAAATGCTGCCTAGTGACGCCCTCATCCCGTGAATGATTAAAGAGAAAGCAGTTATGAGAGTAAAGAACTTTGCTAGTTCTTTGTTACAAAATTTCTCTTATTCCTCTGGTTCACTACTTTTGTCAACATTGGGCCTTTTCTTTAGTCCAGTCCTGTTGTTTATTTCTTCAGTTAATCTTGAACAGATCATTTATTTTTCTGGAGCTTTTATTTCACAAAAAATACATAGTTGCTGTGAATGATGAAATATGTTTCCAATTGTTTAATCTACTGTATACTTTCTAATTTAATGTTCTAATCTATCTTAATAAATGTGCCCCTTCTGTTGATGTAATTGCCTTTGGTTGAGTTTAAGACTCTAGTTCAGTGACTTCAGTAAACCATTCTCAATCTTAGTGGGAAATTCCAATCTTAAGAGTCATAGATGTAATATTTGCGCTCTCTTACTGCCGATGATTAGTATGTTTTAATATGGAAAAAGGTACGTTTTGTTACATTTGGAGTGTGAATTATTTCTACTATTCATTCATGGGACAAGGGCGTCACTGGCTGGGCCAACATTTATTGTCCTTAATTGCCCAGAGGGCAGTTAAGAGTTAACCACGTTGCTGTGAGTCTGGAGTCACATGTCTAGGCCAGACCAAGTCAGGATGTCGGTTTCCTTCCCCGAAGAATATTAGGGAACCAGATAGGTTTTTCTGACAATGGATAATGGATTCATGGTAATATTCAACTCGTAATTCCAGATTTTGTTTTAAATTGGTGGGATTTGAACCTGGGTCCCCAAAACATTACTGGGGTCTCTGGATTAACAGTCCAACAATAATAGCACTAGGCTGTCACCTCCCCCCAAATTTCTTGGAGTGTAAGAATATTCAGCAGCCAGCATTTACAAGTTTAATTCAAGTACAGTTGTTCATTCTCTCACATTTATCCTGAAAATAAAGCAACAATACCCTTTCAATCTCTTTCTCTCCCACGCATTGCTTTCCTGTCCCCCCAACCCCTCACATAAAGGTTGAGTACAGGTAGTGGTGGTATACCTTTAACTCCTGTTAACTCAGCTCCTGGTTACTATCTCCAGTCTTCCACATAGACGGCCTGATTTTGATGACTTACATTTGAAGTGGGTGTCTTGTAGAGCGAAGAATTTTCAGCATGCTGAGGTTTCTTTAGGTTAATTTTCTAGGAAGTTGTGTCTCAGGTCAACTTTAAACTCAAGCAAGTTACATTCTTTGCTTGATGTCCTGCAGTTTGCCTGCAAGTCACAGTGACTGAGTGGTTCGCTCTGTCACCTCCTTGTGTCTGTGTGAGTTTCCTCTGGCTGCTCTGGTTTCCTCCCATAGTCGAAGATGTGCAGGTTAGGTGGATTGGCCATGCTAAATTGCACAGTGTCCAGGCACATGCAGGCTAGGTGGGTTAGCCATGGGAAATATGGGGTTATGGGGATAGGGTGGGTGGCTGGGTCTGCATGGGATGCTCTTCAGAGAGTTGATGGGACAAATGGCCTCTTTCCACACTGTAGGGATTCTTTGATTTTATTTTATGATTTACGCCTCTTTCACGGATTGGTTGAAAGCTTTGATGGTTCTAATTGTGAACAATGTATAACTTTCCTTAAGTAGAAAAGACCGAGAAAGCATCACTGTCCCAGCATATTCCATATAAGGAGTAGTGTCTCTAGAGATCCTGTGTTGTGGGTTAGCAGCTTGTTTGGGATTTTTGGCAATCAGTTTCTTTGTTTTTCAGTAACCCTTACAATTGATAAAACCCTTGGTTTTGGGAAAGAGCATTGATTTATCTCAATCCAAAAAGTTCTTTTGGTATTGGCCTATACTTGAATAAGGATATGTGTGACTTCCCTGATGGCTGTCCACCTTAATTAGGTGTTTTTTTGAGACTTGGTGTTGTCTCTAGCTAAAAGGCCAAAGGTCACATGATTGGCAGCAGTCATGTTAATAGTTTGATTGTATCCAGTTTTGAAAAGAATTGATGAATGTTCATAATATGATGTGTTTATATGTATTATGACATTAGGATCACTCTTCCTTAGGATTCCTTACCATGAGATTATTCATTAATCTCCTCTCATTAACCGAGGCAAGATCTAAAATTGCCTGTTCGTGTAACATGGGTTAGAGTAGAGTGCCAAGCACAGTTCTGGTATCCATATTATGAAAAGGATGTAGAGGCATTGACAAAGGAACAGAAAGATTTACAATGAGAGTACCAGAGCAATAAAGTGTTATTGATTTAAAAATTGGATGATGGTTCTCGGATTGCTTTCCCTCAAAGATGTAATTGAGGGATGATTGAATAGTTGTCGTTTGTGCAGAAATCAAAACTCGGGGCCAGAAGTGAGTTGTACCCAATAAGAGTGGGAATTATCCCCAGTTCTGACAAATATTTATTCTTCAACAGATTCAAGAACAGCCTCATACTGCTGTTACCAGACTCGTGAACCTCTCATATATTAGAGTTGATCTTTCTCTGTACCTTCTCTGTAGCAGTAACACTATATTCTGCATTCTGTTCCATTACCCTGATCAACTTACGTAAGGTACGATTTGTTCGGGTAGTACACAAAACAACATTTTTCTCTGTATCTCAGTGCATGTGACAATAATAAATCAAATCAAATCAAATCAACATCACAACAGAAGATGGTCACGTGATATTCTTATTTTGTGTAATAGTTTGCTCTATATAGATGGCCTTACGTTTCTCACCTTGCTGCAAATCTAACTACGAACCAAAATACACTATTGGCTGTAAAGCACATCGGGGTGTCCCTGTGTTTGTGAGGGATGTTTGTTCCAATCACAGCAGGTATGTGTTCAGTAGTCAGTGAACTGAGAATTTGCATAGCTCAATTTGCTCCATTTTTCATTTTTCTCATTGTTTTAATTTTAAAAATGGCCAACAGCAAAGCATGTTTTTTAAACAAGATCAAAGGTTGGTTTATGGCCCAGCTATTACTGAAAGTTACTAATTAAAATGTGACAATTATTAGATAAAATACAGTCACAAAGATTGTAGGTGAATGCAAATAAAAATATTTGTAAATAAAAAAGAAAGATCAGTCTATTAGAGATAGTAAGAACTGCCAATGCTGGAGTCTGAGATACCACAGTGTGGAGCTGGATGAACACAGCAGGCCAGGCAGCATCAGAGAAGCAGGAAAGCTGATGTTTCAGGTCGGGACCCTTCTTCAGAAATGGAAGAGGGGAAGGGCTATTATTGTTGCAGGCCTATTGTTTACTTGAAGATTCCCTTTTGAAGTGAAAGAATTGTAAAATCAAAGTTGGGATTTAGCTGCTATGATGACCTATTACTTGAGTAGTTGGCAGTTTCTCTACCTTAGTGGATAAAGCAGAACAGGATTCTGATGGAGTGCACGCTCCTTTATTTTATATTCAGGGCACCAGAAGTTGTGGCCTTTAGTACTGTGGTTCAGCAATACGGCCCTTAGCTACTTTGCCTTTTCCTCTCCTGTTCAGAATTCTCTCTCTGGCCCTGTCTCCTCAGTAGCATTCTGTTTTTAAAATGTTGTCTCTCAAAGTCTTATTCAGATGAAATTTAAGATGGCTTCTATGTTAATTTTTGATGAATCATTGTCACGAAGAGCAAAGTCAATTGTGCTGGAATTCCTATGGGGATCCTTCTAGTCTTCTGCTTTTCCATCAGACGTTTTTCAAATTCTCACATCTTTAACAGGAGCCATTGTGTTTCTCAAAGAGTAATTGAATTCTGAATGGCTTCCTTTATGGTTGATTTTAACATAATACATCAGTCTGCCTGCCTTTCTGGATGAAAGGGCTGTCATGTGATTGCAGGCAGCCATTTTTTAGATTCTGCATCTATTTTAAAAAGTCGGATTTGTCATCTTTATAAATGATATATATATATAAATACAGATGTCTTTCTTCCACTATAGGTCAGTGAACAAGGGTGAACAGGCCTTGGTGAGATTTTTGGTTGAACCCAAATTTACAGTGGCTGCAAAGTATGCAGTTACCTAGGAGTGCAGCAGTATTTGAGTCTGGAGGCCAGAAAACTGCTGGAATGCCATATAAATGCATCTCTATTTCTCATGTATAATATATGTATTGTGTTTTATTTTCAGCTGGGAAGTACTGAGATTCCTGCTGTCTAATCTGCGCTGGTGGGTGGAGGAGTATTATTTTGATGGCTTTCGATTTGATGGAGTAACATCTATGTTATATCATCACCATGGCATAAGTACGCTTCACTTATTTTAAAGTTTGAAACAACTTTTTAACTTGATGTCAGACTGTTCAGTGTTAGCCGATCATGAAACACACAGAATGCTGGAGAAACTCAGGAGGTCTGGCAGCATTTGTGGGGAGAGAAGCAATGTTAATGTTTCAAGTTCAATATGACTCTTCTTCAGAACTTTAATGTTGATTAGCATGCCTCATTGGGGGATGGGCTTTGCCTTGACTTACATGCAGGATGGTTTGGGGATCCCATCCCACGCCCAGTTAGGGGTTCTCCAGGGAAATATTCTCTCAGCAAATTCCTTTTAAAGGTCCTTGGAGAATTTTATGGGTAATAATGGCTTAGTGGTATTATTGCCAGGTAATGTTCTGGGGACCCAGGTGCGAATCCTGCCACAGCAGATGGTGGAGATAGCAGGATCTGCAGATACTGGAGAATCTGAGATAACAAGGTGTAGAGCTGGATGAACACAGCAGGCCAAGAAGGGTCGAGGCCCGAAACGTCAGCCTTCCTGCTCCTCTGATGCTGCTTGGCCTGCTGTGTTCATCCAGCTCTACACCTTGTTATCGCAGCAGATGGTGGAGTTTGAATTCAGTAAAAATCTAGAATTAAGAGCCTAATGATGACCATGAATCCATTGTGGATTGTTCGAAAAACCGATCAGGTTTGCTAATATCCTTTAAAGGAGGAAACTGCCATCCTTACCTGTTCAGGCCTATATGTGATTCCAGACCCACAGCAATGTAATTGACTCTAAACTGCTCTCTGAATGCGCAATAATTTCTGGGCTAGCCACCAATGCCCTTATCCTGTAAGTAAATAAAGAAAAAGATCATTTCACTCCCATCTAAACTTTGGAAATACAAAGCCACTCTCAATTAATTCCTGACCAACCAGTCTGAGTCTACTGTTGTAATACTCAGTGTCTTGCCTGCTCCCTTTTCTATAGAGATTCTCTACATGTTGATATTAACCTCTTACCCAGCATTGCCAATCCAATATCGCCAAGAACACTAGGGAACTCCTCAGCCCTTTGAATTGTTGAATCACCAATGTTTTACGTCTTGTTTGGAAAACGTACTTTCTGTAAATACAGCAGACCCTCAGTGCATAGGGACTGGGGCATTTCGGTGCGTCCATTTGTTCTGTCACTCAGATATATTAGGTGCTCATCTGCATCTCAACTGCATTTACATGTCTGCTTCATATTCTTTGTTACCATTTGTATTAAATCGAAAAGATTAAAGGAAGACCATTTGACCCATCTTGTCTGTGCTGGTTCCCCAAGGAACTATCCAATGAATTGCACTTTTCAGCTCATTCCCTGTAGCCCTATAAATAATTTCCTCTACCATCAATGATTTAAGTTCCTTTTGAAACTAACCCTTCAAACATTAAAGTTCAGATCAAAACTATCTGTTTTTTAAAATCATTCTCCACTCCCTGCCTTGGATGTTTCTCATTTATCCTAAGTTTGTGTCCTTTGGTTACTGATCTTCCTAGTTTTCCCAAATTTACATCACCAAACCATTACCTACTCAGCTTTCAGCAGTATAGTACAATTTTCTCTAGCATCTTAACATAGTTCAAGTCTCTCCTCCCTCTTACCAACCTGTAAGTCTCTGCTGTGCCCCCTCTAGCTCAAAAGGATAAAGGAGAAGTATGGCACAGTAGCAGGCCCTTCGGCCCTCCAAGCCTGTGCTGATCATCATGCACTGACTAATCTAAAATGTAAACCTTGTGCCCTTATTCAATCTGTATCCCTCTATTCCCTCCCTATTCATGTAACCATCGAGATGCCTCTTAAACGTTGCCAACGTGCCTGCTTCCACCACCTCCTCTGGCAGTGCCTTCCAGGCTCCTACCACTCTCTGTGTGAAAAACTTTCCTTGCACATCTCCCTTAAACTTTTGCCCTCTCACCTTGAACCCTGGGAAGAAGTCTCTGACTATCTATGCCTCTCATAACTTTGTAGAGCTCTATCAGGTCTCTTCTCAGCTGCCGTCTTTCCAGTGAAAACAATCCTAGTATTTTTAACCTTTCCTCATAACCAATGCCCTTGAGACTGGGCAACATCCTGATGAACCTTCCGTGTACTCTCCCCAAAGCTTCCACATCCTTCTGGTAATGTGGCGACCAAAACTGTACACAATACTCCAAATGTGACCTAATAAGGGTTTTATATAGCTGCAACACGTTTTGCCAACTCTTGTAGTCCATGCCCTGGCCAATGAAGGTAAGCATGCCATATGCCATCTTAATCACTTTGGCCACCTGTGTTGCCACTTTGAGGGAACTGTGGACCTGCATGCACAGATCCATCTGAATGTTCATGTTCCTAAGGGTTCTGCCATTAACAGTATAATTGACACCTAAATTTGATTCTCCAAAATGCATCCCTCGCATTTATCTGGATTAAACTCTATCTGCCATTTCTGTGCCCAGGTCTCCAAGCTATCTCTCGTCTGTTGTATTCTTTTGCAATCGTCGGCACTATCAGCAACTCCACCAATCTTCATGTCATCAGCAAACTTGCTAACAGACAACTCCCATTTTTCCTCCAGATCAGTTATGTATACTACAAACAACAGAGGACCTAAGACTGATCTGTGAATCATGCTCTTGAAGTGCTCTGTTTCCCTATAATACACAACCAGATCCCCAGATTCTTTGTCTGGGAGAATTGCTGTCAGATTTCAGTCTTGCACGGTCAGGGTCTGTTTTTAAGATTATCTCCCTTTGTTTTGGACTCTCCGAATAGTGGAAGTAGCTCCCTCTATCTACGTTGACAAATCTTATCATTACCTTAAGCATTGTTCATTGTACTGAAGCATTGGACTATAAAGTACACTTCTGGAGTGGGATATCCTACTTCTAACTCTCAGCAACGTATTTGCCAATTGAGCCAAGCTTGAGGCTGGATTCTCAGTTGTTATTTGACTGAAGTCAACAACTGCAGTACAGACTGAAAACGGAACCTGAAACTTTCCTTGGACTGAATCAGACCTTTCCATAAAAACCCAGTTGAAAGGTATGGTGGAATTTATGTTTTGGGTACAGAGCATAGTTTTAAGAACAGACAATACTGAAAATAACCAGCAGGTCAGAGATCTGATGAAGGGTCACCAACTTGAAATGTTAATTCTGTTTCTATCCATAGATGTTGCCTGAGTACTTCCAGCATTTTCTGTTTTTAGTTTGGATCTGCAGCATGCTGCATTTGTACTGACATGGATTGTGCTTTTTGAATCTTGTGTACTGTTTCTGTGCAATAAGTACAATGTAGCGATGTAATATTGGAGTATTTCGTTGAATATCGCATGTTTTTTTAAAAAACTGATCCCAACATTCTTTCTACAGGTACGGTTTTTTCTGGGAATTACAGTGAATATTTTGGGCTTCACGTTGATGAGGATGCCTTAGTGTATCTCATGCTGTCAAACCATATGCTTCATAGCTTCTATCCAGACTTCATCACCGTAGCAGAGGTAATGAATCAGCCTGTTTGGTAGATTTTATTATTTGTTATAGAGTTAAGCACATGTTGATTTGAGATATTTCCAATTTTTCATGCCATGTTAGTTTTTTTTTTTGATGACACTTCATCAATGTTGCACTCTTTAGGAAGTGAAATGTTCATCCGGGGGAAAGGAACACATGTATATTTCAAGCAGCCAAATTGGGCGAAGTGTAGAATTTGTTACAAACAGATTAATGTTCTCCTTTTAATGCTGACATCCCACACTGTCAGAGCAGGCATGACGAAATGTTAGATACAGAGCAAAGTTGACTCGACATTATCTCCATTGAGCATTCCCAGGGCAGGGACAACACAGTGTTAGATATAGAGTAAAGCTTTCTTTACATTGTCCCCATCAAACAGTCCCAAGACAGGGACAGCATGGTGCTGGATACAGAGTAAAGCTCTCTCTACACTGTCCCTCATGAAACACTCCCAGGACAGTGACAGTACAGGGTTAGATAGAAAGTAAAGTCCCCTTCGCTGTATTTCCAGAAGGCTCTTGATCCACCATCGAGCCCCTCACCCCAACTTCCGAATCTTTCCTTCTGCATCAGTTATTCCCCTATGAATAAAAAATAGAAGTAGGCTGTTTGGCCCCTCAAGCCTTCTCCATCACTTGATAAGACCATGACTCATATGATTACTCCATATGCCTGCCTACCCTTCATAATTTTTCATCCCCTTGTTTATCTGTATTCTCTACCTCTGCCTTACAAATATGCAAAGGCTCTGCTTGCATCACCTTTCAAGAAAGGAAGTTCCAAAAACTCATCACCCTCAGTGAGAAAAATTTCTCCTTATCACTGCCAGTAGTGGTGTATGCTAATATCACTGTACTAGCAATACAAACCCCATGCTAATTTTCTGGAGAAATGTGCTTGAATACTACCATCGCAGCTGGTGAAAATTGAATTCAGTAAAAATCTGGAATAAAAACCTGGCCTAATGATGATCGTGGAACCACTTTTAATGATTGTGAACATAAAAACCTATCCAGTTCAGTAATGCCTGTCAGGGAAGGAAGTCTGGTCTTATCTGCTCTGGTCTACTTTTACGTCCAGACCCACAGCGATATTGTTGAATAGGGATCAGAAATGTTGGCCTAGCCAGTGACGCTAGCATCTCATGAACAAATTTGAAAAAATGGGCAACACCTTATTTTTAATCAGTGACCTTGAGTTCAATTTCACATCCACCCCACCAAACTCTCTCAGGATCTCGAATGTTTCAAACAAGTTGCCTCTAATTCTTTTTGAAATTCCAGTGGATATGAGCTGAGTCTGTCCAACATTTCCTCATAAGAGAATCCACTTATTTCAGGTATTATTCCAGTAAACTTTATCTAATCTGCTTCAATGCATTGACATCCTCCCTTAAATAAGCTGACCAATGCTGTGCACAGTACTCCAGGTCTCACCAGGACCATGTATAATGAAGCATAACTTCTCTATTCTCCCTGCTTACTTCAAAACTCAAAACAGCTGTTCTTGCGGTTTCTGAGAAATTATATTGCCACTTTAGGAACAGACCATTTTGTGTGGGGCTCATGTCCATTTTATATATTGATGCCAGACTGTTTAGATCCATCCACAACAAAAACAAAGTTGCTGGAAAAGATCAGCAGGTCTGGCAGCATCAATGAAGGAAAAAACAGAGTTAACGTTTCGGGTCCGGTGACCCTTCCTCAGAACTGAGCTTTTCCAGCAACTTTGTTTTTGTTTCTGATTTACAGCATCTGCAGTTCTTTCAGTTTTTGTTTCAATCCACCCGACTGATTTCACTCTGGGTTGGAAGTAATCGATGTTCACTCAAATTGCTCCTCTGCCCAAAATCTTCTATTTAAATGTAGTGGTGAGATCTTTACTTTTGTAGTGTAATTGTTTAATTTCCATTTAGCTACCCTTCATGTTGCTCAGCAGTTTATTTATTCTCTGTGTGAATGATGTACCCTCACTTACTCAGTGCATTTGGTGACTGTGATATTTTTGGCGCTTGCTGTGAATCATGCATGAATCTTGCCCTGACAGCGCAGTTCTTATGCATAGCTTCATCCCGTACTCTATTTCTCTGCCAATGAAGCTGTGAAACTGATGTAGAGAGTCTGGAGAAGCTGGGTTGTTCTCTTTTGGATTTGATAGAGTAAGTAAGGAGAAACTGTTTCTGCTGGTGGAAAAGACATTAAACGGTCGGTAAAATGTAAGAAAATTGGCAAGATCTTCTCCAAGTTGCACGCCAACTTGTCTTGGAACTGTGTTGCCATTCCTTCACTGTCATTGGGTCAAAATCCTGGAACTCCCACTATTACAGCAGTTCAAGAAGGCAGCTCACCTCTGCTTTCTCAACAGCAATCAAGGACAGGCAGTTCATGAAAAAAAAAGCAAAGCACTGCAGAATCTGGAAATCAGAAAGAAAATCAGAAATTGCTGGAAAAGTTCAGCAGGTCTGGCAGCATCTGTGGAGAGAGAAAGCAGAGTTAATATTTCAAGTCCAGTTCTTGATCTGAAGAAGGATAACTGGATTGAAAACGTTAACTCTGCTTTCTTTTCACAGATGCTGCCAGACTTGCTGAGTTTTTCCAGCAATTTCTGGTTTTGTACAGGCAATTCATGCTTACCGAGATTCTGATACCGTTAGTGTATAAAAAGTCTCTTTTCAATGCAGTGAGTTGTTGTGATCTGGAATGCCTGCAAGGATGGTGGAAGTAGATCAATAGTAACTTCCAGTCTGGACAAAAGGTAAATACTTGGAAGGGGAAATATTTTGAAGTCTATGGGGAAAGTGCAAAGGGGCTTTTTCAAAGAAGAGGCACAGGCACAGTAAGCAGAAAGATCAACTGTTATGCTCAAGTATTCTATGAGGCTGTGCCTATCTTGAAGGTGGACATTTTAATGTGGACTGTACCATGAAATGCTCACTGTCTTGTGAGTAGTACCAAGACAGACTTCATGTATCAGTGCTTAGAATGAGGTAGTATCAACAGTTTTCATTTTCCTAATCAATGTGTCTGTTTCAATTGTGATATCATCTTTAAAAGACAGGGTTAATCCACGTCGGTAATGCTGCCTTTTGTGTTATAAAACACGATCTCTTCTTCATGTGGGTTAAGTGATATATCCAAACATAATCATCAACACCTATTGTCTGTAAAGCCCTAAATCAATTTTGTAACGCTGGAGAGATCATTCTGATCTTTTACAGGCAGGTGTTGCATTTACCTGCAGTTCAAAAAGGGTGAAAAATTAACAATTTGTGCATTGCCGGCAGTCGTTGCTGCATATTTTCTGGCTTCAGGCATTGCATAATCCTAGATTAAAATAAAGCAAAGAACTATGGACACTGAAGCTCTGAAAAACACAGAAACAGAAATAGCTAAAGAGACTGAGCAGATCTGGCAGCATCTGTGGAGAGAAAACAGGGTTAATGTTTCAAGTTCAGTGACCCTTCTTCAGAACTGTGTATTTCATAATCCTTGATTAACAAGGGTATTTTTTTCTGACCTGATGTCATTGAGTCTTTGCTGTTTGACTGGCTAATAAAGATTTTTGAAGCTCATCTTTGACAAGCTAAGCTATTTTTGCTTCTTAAATTGATACGGAGAACAAATGTTTTAAGCAGAAATAAGATTAAAATGTGCAGTAAAACGGAGTGGATGAAAAGAGGATGGAAGTGATGGAGATGCTTTTAATAAATGTGTAGAACTTCCATGTTTCAGTCGTTGTGGGTTAATGTCTTCAATAATAGTGCTGTTCCAGATGTTTGATTCGTTCTGTGTTGTCATGATAAATAGCCAGGGCTGCAGGGTGTGTTGTGACTAATTGCAAAAGTGGCTGTCCTTTGGGACAGTGGCTTTCTTGAATTAATATCGTGTTAAAAGTTGATGCTTCATTGCTAGCAAGAAGTGGAGCCAAATCAATCAGTAATTTGGTACAGAAGAACAAAATGAATACGCAAGTCAGGTTCCGTCAATAGTCTCCTGCCATGTTTATAGTTTCCTGCGATGACAGAAAGTGAAGGTGGTTGGTTTACTGTGGTTGGTTTAAGCACCACCATCCCCCTTCCACTGTTTACAGCAGTTTCTCCATGAATAATTGGATCAGGGAGTTAACAGAATTGGAGGAGGCAACTCAGCTCATTGTGTCTGTGCTTGCTCTTTGAAACAGAGATCCAATTTATCCAACTAGCTTACTGTTTGCTTGTAACCCTGCAAATTTTGCTTTTCATGTGAACGTTAAATCCCCTCTCCTGAAAGCTGGCAATGAATCTGCACCCACCACCCCTTTGTTCATGGAACACAGGTCTTAACAACTTGCTGTGTCATGTAGTTTCTCCACATGTTGCCTCTTCTGGCAACCAATTTGGGTGTGGCAAAGTCACATCAACTGCAATGTGATAGTGACCACATATTCTATTCTTGCAATGTTAATTAGGATGACAAATATTAATCTGGTTACCAATGAGCACTTTGCTGCTCCTCTTTTAGGTGGTGAGTATGAGATGTATATCTCCGAGAGCAGGCAGGCCCTTGGTTTAATATCTCATCCGGAATGAGGGAGCCGCTGAATGTGCAGCACCCTGTCAGTACTCTAATTGTTGCTGGAGAACTTGCAAAGCTGAACCTGGTCGTGATCGAGTTTTCAAAGGCTTCATGACAAGGAGCATGGGAGATAAAAGCGGGATTGGGTCATTTGATCACTGTCTGCTTGTCAAATACCTTATAACTATGTGGTTCTGTGTAGTCCACATTGCTCCTCAAATAACTGTAATAAATTTGTGAAGCACTATCTCCCTTTCACAAACCCATGTTGACACTGCCTGATTGCACTGAGGTTTCTGAATGCTCAGCTGTAGCCATCTTTATAATGAATACCAGCATTTCGCCTATGACAGATGTTAAAATATTTGGCCTGTAGTTTCCTGCTTTCTGTCTTCCCAACTTTCTTGAATAGAAGAGTTACATGTGCCATTTTCCAGTCTGATGGCATACTTCCAGAGCTTGGGGAATTTTAAAAAAAATGTAAAAAACAGAACTTTTACTGTCTTAGCAACCACTTCTTCTTTCAGGACTCTTGAATGAAGTCCTTCAGGTCTGTAGGAAGACTTCTATTTCCAGTAATTTTCTAAGCATCCTTTCCCTGGTGATTGTAATTACTTTAGGTTCCTCCCTTTCTTTAATCATTTGATTAACAGTTTATTTCTTTGGTATTATTTGTATCCTCTACAAAGTAAAGAAATACAAAATACCTGTTCAATTTTTCAACTGTTTCTTATTTTCTATTACTAATTCCCTAAACATACACTATAGAGGACCAGAGCTCACTGTACTTTTTCCTTTGTAAATACCTGTAGAAACTCTTATGGTCTGTATTGTTCATTTCCAGTTAGCTTTCTCTTGGACACAAGTTTCTTCCTCAGCTTTTTTGTAACCATAGGCCTTATTTGTTCTATCCAATCTTCCTACCTGCTACTAATCTCTGGAATTGTATGGTTTTCTTCCAATTTGATACTTCCTTATATAGAGACTGATGGTTTGTCCTTCCCCTTTCTTTTTCACTGGAATGCATCTTTGCTAAACGTTAGGAAATAAATGTCTTAATGTCTGCCACTGCAGCCCTACTGACATTTCTTTGCCTAACTATCTCATTCAGTTTATTCAGCATAGTCCTCATAACTGCCCTACTTGAAGTTTAAAACCCTATTAATTCAGGAAATACACTATCCCAAAGGACAGACATAGTAAGAACTGCTGATGCTGGAGTCAGAGATAACAGTGTGGAGCTGGAGGAGTACAGCGGGCCAGGCAGCATCAGAGGAGCAGCAAAATTAATGTTTCGGGTCAGGACCCTTCTTCAGAAAATCTGAAGAAGGGTCCCAACCCAAAACGTCAATTTTCCTGCTCCTCTGATGCTGCCTGGCCTGCTGTGTTCCTCCAGCTCCACACTGTGTTATCCCAAAGGACAGCCACTTTTCTCCCTCAAATTGAATTTGAAATTTAGTCATCTTATGAACACAGCAACCTGGAGCAACCTTTACTATGAATTTACCATTAATCCTGCCCTGTTCCATATCACCATGTCTGGAATAGTTTGCTCTGTTGTTGACTCTAATAAAGTCTCAAGAACGCACTCTATCCTCCTCTTACAGGCTACATTTGCTGATCTGATTTGCCCAATCTATTTGTAGATTAAGATCACTTCTCATTAGCATCAATTATTTCTCACAAGCCCCCATTGTTTTACATGACTATCTTATCCTATAGTTTGGTTGACAGGAACTATAAAGTATGTACCATTGAATATCTAGAAACCAGTCTTTGTCATCTTGCAATTATGTCTCTAATGGCAATCAAATCGTGTATATTTATTTCTATTTGAGCTATTGATTCATCTGCTGTGTTACAGATGTTATTGCATTCCAATGCAGAGCTTCTGGTCTGCCTCTTTTTCACAACCTCCAGCCTTCTTGCCTGGTACTCTCAAGTTTGCATGCTCTGTAGAGGGGCAGGGAGTTACAGCTATTGATTGTTGTTGAAATGGAGGGTAGTCAAGATGTGATTGATTTGCGCTGAAGCAGGTTTGGATGGTTGAGTGGCTGACTCCTACTTTTAGTTTTGCCCTGCTAGCTGCAGACCGTTGCTCCAGCCAAAAACCTGTGCCTTAAGGAGGAAGGCATTATGAGACACCTCCATAAGAACATCTGGTCCTTTTCAGACTGGCAGGCTACATTTACTCAATAATATCGAGAGCAGCATGATATCTCACTCACATCAGCATTGCTGTGATGCTGTGTTAGACCAATGAAGGTTTTGTTTAATGATCAGTAAAATGGCAATGCAATCGGTTAATGTTCTGAATGAGCAGAGTATCATTCCTCTGAAAGCATTGGTTCAATTGTGAATAGTACAGTTCTGTTTTCAATTATGTAGGTAATTCTGGTAATGCACAAAAACACTATAATCATCAGCTCCATAATGTCGCCTCAGGACCTGATGAGAAGATATCCCGAAGGAGTCCAATGTCCTTCTGTCACTGTCCTTCTGTGTCAAAATTCCCCTCTGATGCTGCACTTATTTAATCATCCTGATGTTCAAGACACAGCAGACTCTTCATGCAGTGAGTGAGAGTAGCTTTTCCTCTGATGCCAATTAAGTGACAACAGCAGTCACTAACACTCAAGCAAATGATCTTTGTAGGTAATATAGCAAAAAAAATGATAGACTGAAGCCGACGCAGAAGGAATAAGAGCTTGTTTACCTGTACCACAGCTGAGTTACAGTCAACTCCAAGCTTTATCCTGGTACGGAGGTTGTATAGACTGTGCAATACCGCCCCCTGCTGCCCACAGTTTCAAATCCTGAGGACAGACCCATTTATCGAAGAACCCAGAAACTCAGTTGGTCTAATCAGATACATGTCTTGTTAATAAACGCTGCAAACCAGGAACACCCCAGAATTAAGTGCTACCCTCTGCTGAGCCCATGAGTCTGAGCTGAAAATTGCAGTATATTCCGAAGAGGCAGACAAAAGAAAAAGAGACTTGCATTTACGCAGCACTTTCATGGTCTCAGGAGATCTCAGAGTGATTTTTAGCCAGTTAAATATTTCTTGAAGTATCGTCACATTACAATAAATTGTGCAGTCACATCCCAAAGATAGCAGTGATCACAATTCTTCCCTTAAATCTTTTCAAATATTTCAATAATAGGATTTTATCATCCATCTGCAAGGGATGTTAGGGTGTCCATTTATCATCTTGTCTAAAATATGACATTCCCAAAACTGCTCTGGAGTAAATCCTTGATAGTATCCAAGCTCTTTCTGGCAGATATGCCCCTGAGGATTTGATTATCCAGAATACCTTCTGTACGCTTGCTATTGCCAATGCTTCTTCCAGATGTTGTTTAGTATAAAGCTCAAATAAAGTGTGGCATCATTGTTTATGGTCATCATTGCTGACACAAGCTTTTAAATTCTAGATTGTTATTGAATTTAAATTTCCCAGTTGCCATCGTGGATTTGAACCTTTGTCCCCAAAGCATTATTCCAGATTACCAATTTAGAACATTATCACTATACAACCATTCCCAATAACGTGGCCAACATTTGACACTTGACTAGCAAAAGAAATTAATTGTGATTTACCTTATAAAATAAATAGGTTGTGATAATAAGTTATTTGATCTGAAACATTAAGTCTCTTTCTCTCTGAGAATCTGATTTTTTTCGCTGTTTTTTGTTATTTTTTAATTTCAGATTTACACCATTTGCAGTATTTTTAATTTATGCTCTTAACTAATCGATGTTTGTAGGGTCTTGCTGTGTACAAATTGGCTGCTGCGCTATGTTGTTTCCATCGCAAAGTGGACTGTGGAGAGGCATATCAAATCAGAATCTGTGCCGGTATACTAATTGGAAATGTGTTTTTTAGGATGTGTCGGGAATGCCCACATTGTGTCGGCCTGAGATTGAAGGAGGTGGTGGCTTTGATTTCCGTTTGGCAATGGCTATTCCTGACAAGTGGATCCAGGTGAGCCCTATGTTAATGTACAAAGGAGCTGCAGATTCAGGCATGCAAAAATTAACAGAGTTGGAAATGTTCAGAACGTGCTGTTCAATTGACGTTGCACTCCCGCTTGCTTTGTGCTCAGCTTTCCCTTTGTTTTTAAGAACTTGTGATTTTGCACATTAATTGCCCATTAGTTGCACCACAGTAAAATCTATTAATTAAGAGTGCAATTTCTATTATGCAGCACAATGTTGAAAACTGCAATGTGATACCTGCAAAGGCATCAGAAACACATTCAATAGTTAAACACGAAATTAAAGGAAAGGGATGAATAGTTGAAAAGGGATGATTAACAGTCCTCTGGAGAAAAGACATGATGTTGGACTGATTATATAGTGTATTGAATAGTCACCTGTATCATTCCATGCAAGTGTTGTAGCTGTACTGAAACAGCTGTACTAGGGGAGTGGCAAGTTCTGGAGCACAAGTCTTTAGTACTATTGCCGGTATGCTGTCAGGTCCCAAAGCCTTTGCAGTATCCACTGCATCCAGCTGTTTCTTGATATCATGTGACATGAATTTAATTGGCTGAAGATTGGCATCTGTAAAGCTGGGGACCACTAAAGGGAGCCAAGATGGATTGTCTGCTCGGCACTTCTGGTTGAAGATTGCTGCAAATGCTTCAGCCTTATCTTTTGCACTGATGTACTGAAATCTCTCAGCATTGAGGATGTGGTATTTATGGAGCTCCCTCCTCTGGTGAGTTATTTAATTGTCCACCAATATTTGCGACTGCAGAGCTTAGATCTCAACTGTCGATCGTGCATTTGCTTACCTCTTGTCCATCACTGACTGCTTATACTGTTTGACACATGTATCACGTGTTTCCACTTCAGGTTAATACTTCATTTTTAAGAATGCCTGGTTCCGCTTCTGACATACCCACCTACACTCACCATTGAACCAGGGTTGATCTCCCAGCTTGGTGGTTTTGCTAGAATAGGGGATATGTCAGAACACGAGGTTGCAGATTGTGTCGATTCTGATTCTGATTCTTTGTTGAGTATGATTCTGCTACTAATAATAGCCATTAGTATCTTGAGGATGTTCAGTCTTGAATTGTTAGATCTGTTCAAAACGTATTCCATTTAACATGGTAATGGTCCCATATTGCATAATGGAAGGTATCTTCACTGTGATCCTTAATTATAACTGACAAAGTGCAGACTGTCAGATTTGTGAAAAGTTCATGTCTACAGACTTGGAAAGGACTCATTGAACTTTCTCTATAATCCATGGTAGAGCAACTGTAATGCATCAGTTAAGTAGCAACTTGTAGAACTGAATTAGGGAAGAAAATTTTCCAGACTCAATAACATGTTATTGGGGAGAATGGTTGAAATTTTGAAATCTTGCTAATCATCTTGTATATTTAGCTTACATTTTAATTTTTTTGTCTGATAAATTTCTGTTGTTAAAGATAATTGCCACCACTTGGGAATTTGTCTAAGTGATAATCACCACAGAAACACAGAATCCGTACAATGTGGAAGCAGCCCATTCAGCTCATCAAGTCCATACCGACCCGCCGAAGAGCAAACCCGCCCCCACCCTCTACCCGTATCCCTGTAACCCTGCGTTTCCCGTGGCTAACTCATCTAACCTGCACATCGGTGGAGACTATGGGTAATTTAGCATGGGCAATCTACCTAACCTGCACATCTTTGGACTGTGGGAGGAAACCACGCAGACACAGGGAGAATGTGCAAACTCCACACAGTCACCCAAGGGTGGAATTGAACTCAGGTCCCTGGCACTGTGAGGCAGCAGTGCTAACCACTGAACTACCATGTCGCACCAACTAAACTAAAAAATACATAACTAACTTCAAAAAAAGTCTGTAAAACCAGGTTTCATTCTGGGATCCGACTTATCCAGTCATACCATCAGCTGGGGGTCATCGTAGGCTTTAAAGAGCATATAATAGGAAAACAGGTAGAGAGGCACAGAATCAGGAAGGGATTTTCTTTTGAGCTTTGGGTTTAAGTAGGAGAAAGTTAGGATGGTGAAGCAATGAAAATTAGACTTGTACAGGAGGCAGAGTTGGAAGAACACAGACGTTTCACTGGGTTATGAGGCTGGCAGGAGGTAACAACAATAGGCATGGTAAATAAAAACTGAAAGAACTGCAAATGCTGTAAATCAGGAACAAAAGCAAAGTTGCTGGAAAAGCTCAGCAGGTTTGGCAGCATCTGTGAAGGAAAAAAACAGTTAACGTTTCGGGTCCGGTGACCCTTCCTTAGAGCTGTTCTTTGTTTTTGTAACAATAGGAATGGGAGTAACCATGGAGGGACATGAAAAACCAGGATCAATGAGCACAGGGTGATGGGTGATCAAAACTTAATGCAAGTGAAGGTATAGGGAGCTGCGTTTTGAATGTGCTTTTAGAGGGTGAAACCTGGGAGATTGACCAATAGATCATTGAATAGGAGATAGTAGGAACTGCAGATGCTGGAGAATCCGAAACAACAAGGTGCAGGGCTGGATGAACACAGCAGGCCAAGCAGCATCATAGGAGCAGAGAGGCTGACGTTTCGGGCCTAGACCCTTCATCAGAAAAGGGGGACGGGAAGGGGGTTCTGAAATAAATAGGGAGAGAGTGGGAGGCGGATAGAAGAGGGATAGAGGAGAGGATAGGTGGAGAGGAAACAAACAGGTCGAAGAGGCGGGGATGGAGCCAGTAAAGGTGAGTGTAGGTAGGGAGTTAGGAAGGGGATAGGTCAGTCCAGGGAGGACGGACAGGTCAAGGGGGCGGGATGAGGTTGGTCGGTAGGAGATGGAGGTGCGGCTTGAGGTGGGAGGAGGGGATAGGTGGGAGGAAGAACAGGTTAGGGAGGCAGGGACGAGCTGGACTGGTTTTGGGATGCGGTAGGGGGAGGGGAGATTTTGAAACTTGTGAAATCCACATTGATACCATTGGGCTGCAGGGTTCCCAAGCGGAATATGAGTTGCTGTTCCTGCAACCTTCGGGTGGCATCGTTGTGGCACTGCAGGAGGCCCAGGATGGACATGTCGTCTGAGGAATGGGAGGGGGAGTTGAAATGGTTCGCGACTGGGAGGTGCAGTTGTTTGTTGCGAACCGAGCGTAGGTGTTCTGCAAAGCGGTCCCCGAGTCTCCGCTTGGTTTCCCCGATGTAGAGGAAGCCACACCGGGTACAGCGGATGCAGTATACCACATTGGCAGATGTGCAGGTGAACATCTGCTTGATGTGGAAAGTCTTCTTGGGGCCTGGGATGGGGGTGAGGGAGGAGGTATGGGGGCAGGTGTAGCACTTCCTGCGGTTGCAGGGAAAAGTGCCGGGTGTGGTGGAGCTGGAGGGGAGTGTGGAGCGGACAAGGGAGTCACGGAGAGAGTTGTCCCTCCGGAAAGCAGATAAGGGTGGGGAGGGAAAGATGTCTTTGGTGGTGGGGTCGGATTGCAGATGGCGGAAGTGTCGGAGGATGATGCGTTGGATCCGGAGGTTGGTGGGGTGGTACGTGAGGACGAGGGGGATTCTTTTTTGGTTTTTATTGCGTGGACGGGGTGTGAGGGATGAGGTGCGGGAGATGTGGGAGACACGGTTGAGGGCGTTCTCGACCACCGAGGAGGGGAAGTTACGGTCCTTGAAAAACGAGGACAACTGAGATGTACGGGAGTGGAATGCCTCATCCTGGGAGCAGATGCGGCGGAGGCGAAGGAATTGGGAATAGGGGATAGCATTTTTGCAGGAAGGTGGGTGGGAGGAGGAGTATTCTAGGTAGCTGTGGGAGTCGGTGGGCTTGAAATGAATATCGGTTTCTAGGTGGTTGCCCGATATGGAGACAGAGAGGTCCAGGAAGGGGAGAGAGGTGTTAGAGATGGTCCAGGTAAACTTAAGGTTGGGGTGGAAGGTGTTAGTGAAGTGTATGAACTGTTCGAGCTCCTCGTGGGAGCACGAGGCGGCGCCGATACA